TATCTAAAAGCTCATATGCTGTTTCTTTTAATACAAGTACTCAAAGAAGAAGTAATATGTAGAAAAGGAGTGATCTGTCTAGGTATGTTGGAGATCGTTAAAAGATGAAAGAAAAGAGAATCAAATAGTTAATTTTCCAAACAGATATATAGCAATAAACTTATTTCCGAAATTATCATTCTTATTTAACAAAAAAACCCCCACAGTGACAGTATCTTTGGAATTATTTCAATGTTCTTAAAACAGGAAGGCACAAATATTTATAGTTATTTTAAGTTCAAAAGCATGCCCCTGTATTTGCTCTAATGTAAATATAGACAGAATATCTTTTTCCATATTTTTAGTTTTCTGAGGTTGTTTTAATTGAATTAATAGTTGAAGAATAAATGTTTGTTTTTATATACTAGTGAAACAAGACTGAACAGCAAATACTTTCTACATAGGTTGCATTGGATTAGCTACAGAGGATGACAATACAGAAACTGATTTTTATAGTGCTGAGCTCACCCTTATGAGTGGCTTAATAGCAGTACTAAAACCACAAGGCATTTACAGACCATGCCCTATGTTGTATGGCATCCCTGCTCCACTAACTGAAGAAAGCACCTAATTTTTCATATTCATTCAGTTCCTTAGTGCTTGTCTGCTCTGAATCATAAGCATAAAACTATGATGTATTCTAACCATACCGACTTGATTCTAAGTTCAGATTGTAAATTACCCTGGGTACACTGAGAATCAATGAAAGTGTTGCTAGTGAAGTCACTACAGCACTTTTTGTATTATATATATGTATGTTCACTGACAATAAAGCTTTTATGTGAAATAAAATTTCATTGATAATTAGAAGTAGATTAATTTGGATAAATATAAACCTGACATGGTACCCATACCATTAATGTTCATGAAGTTCATTTCTAAACAAGTCTAACTTGGGGAAAGTTTTTTCTTTCATTTTTTTCCCCATCAAATTTCACTTAAAAGAACTTGGATTATTTCAGTGAGCATGGCAAGATAAGCTTTTGAGCTTCTGGTTAGTCTTGCAAAGAATATTCAGCCATCAGTGTTTATTAGAATTGAGGTTTCTCTGTCTGATCTGTCTCTTGTCCTCTTGACTAGAAAATTGGGACGAAATAGAAACATTGAGAGAATCTTGCTTTCAGTCTGATTCAACTGAAAGTAGCAAGAGTTGTTTAGAGAACTGTGACTTCTCATGTCAAAAAATATGTAAAGTAAATCAAACCAACCCATCTTGAGTGTTCCATGTATAGACTATATCCTAAATATATTCACTCATATTGGCAGAAGGTGGTGAGAGTGCTCTCAAATTTTATTTCTACACATGGAAACAAAAGAGGTTAGGAATAGAGCACAAAACAGTTCCAGGGAAGATGCCTTAAGTAGGGATTGGATGCAATATACGTTTCTAATTATATTTTACCTGATGGTACTTGAGTCCTTCTTCTGCTGTCTTTTCATACATTCTGATTACCCTGCTTTCAGAAGGACTTTCCCTGATATTGACTAAGTGAGAAATCCTAAATAAATCAAGAAAAAGTCTGGTCTTAGGTTTGGGGTTTTTTATGTGGTGTTTTTTTAAAGGCAATTGGAGCTTCATTGATTCTATTTATAGCTTTCTTCTATGAGTGAGCTGCAATCAAGGATTTCTTTCAAGATGTTTTTCTTCAACTTTATTCCATTTCTCTCTAAGAAGGTGAGGCACTAGTTCAGGCTTATGTGGAGAGGAACCTGAGAGCACTTCAGCTAATGATTTTAAACTGAGGGGATTCTGCATTTTCAGAAGAGAAACTGAAAGAAAGGCTGATTCTCTGTCCTCTGCATAGGCTAGCTCAAATAATGTTAAAATTTGTCTTGAGTGAAACATCATGAGAAACTTGTGGTAGCTTAGTATATGCTACGAGTGTCATGCTGGTTGCTGAATTCTACTTCTTAGGGGAAAAAAAAAAGAGCTGCTGAGGGAATAACTCCAATTATTTCCATGTCAGTTGAGTATATGCCTCCAGAGTGAACATATTACCAGCTTACTTGTATCTCAGTCAAAGTCTTTTTTGATTTTTTTTTTTTTAACACAAGTCTGACAGTTACAGGAGGTACAAGCTAAAACTTCTGTGACTAAAAATGTGGGGTATTTTCCTCATGTATAAGAGATCACTGAGATGTTGAGCTGCTTATTGAAAATTGGAAAAAGGGAGCTGTTCCCCAGGTCGAAAGCCTGCCAGGTAACTTTGTTGACTGCCTTTTGCTAACAGCAAGAATTAAGACAAGAAAATTTAAAATACTTGTTGTCTTGACATTGTAGCTAATCCAAGCGGCAAATCCATTTTCCTCAGAGAATGATATACTGAGCTATGAACAAAATAACTGTCTACTTGCCCTTTTTTTTTGTCTTGAAAAGATTTCTTTCCAGTTTCATAGAAATCTCTCATGCTTTTTTGCCTTTTTATAGCTTTTGAATAAATTACAAGGAAAGAGCTTCTGTACTGGATTTATCAATCCAGTACAGAAACAGAATTTCTCAGAATTCTGTGTTTAAAAAAAAGTGTCATGATGTATCATAGTTTCTGATTGATTGTCAGGGTTTTTCTCAGCTCTAATCTTCTGCAAAAATATTAGCAATATAAATCTTTAATGTTATTTTGTTTATGCACTGATATAATTAATTTTTTACTGACATGAACTTAGCCTGGTGAGGGATGCTTATTGGAAATCGCTGTATTGAAAAAGGACAGTATGTAAGATATATCTTTTTTATTACAGCAGCATCTAGAGGATTCATCTGAAATTTTATTTCCTCTGCTAAACACTGTATGAACACACAGTGATATACAGTATCTTACCCTACCTAGCCTGCCCACCCCCCGTGCAAAAAAAACCCAAAAAACCCAAACAAACCACCAATACCTGAAAACAGGCAACATGCTCAAATTAAAATCAACACATTTTGGTGGTGCATAAAAATAAATGTAAGATTTGGAGACAACAACATTTTATTTATAAAAAACATAGAGCCTTTTTCTGAGAAGTATATTCACTATTCAGTCAAAGAACCAATGCCAAAAGCTGGTTCAGCTGCCAAGTTTTTCAGACAAGGTTTCTGACTGGTCTTTCAAGTCCTTTCCGAATTGCAAGGACTTTAAGGTTGCTATCCCATACAGAGCACTCCTCTGTGAGCTTTTCATTTGGGCAACAATGTTTTAGTTAACTATTTTTAAGAACCATAATGTTCATGCAAAAAACAACTTTTCCCAACTTTAGGATTCGAGTAAGAGCTTTGTTCCGTTATCGGTTGAGACTGCAGGCAGTGACTATCAAGCTGATAAATCGGATAGATGTGGAAATAATGGTTCACTAGAAATTTTGTCTCTATTAGAGTAATTCATAAGAATCATCTTAAGACATTTGGGAATTAATGCGGAGATTAAGGACAGCTGGTTTCAAAAACTTCTTAGAGAGTGAAACTAAAATTTATCTTTATGTTGTAAAAAGAGCTATGGAATTAAATTATGTCATCCACCACTTGAATGGTAGCATAGCTGGGTATTACAGCAGTGCATGTGTGCACACTCAGTGCACCTAAACCATAAATTTCTTGGTTGGTGCAGAATGTCCCTTAGTCATCTGTCTGCAGAGATGAGAAAGACAGATTTGAAAGAACACACCTAGTTGAGCAATGGGATTGAAAGAACTGGTTAGCATTTGGCTAACTGGTGTAGGAATCTCAGGTTCTCCTGGAGATCCCATAGGCAGCTTCTCCTGTTCTTATGCTGATTTTCCATGTGTCAGTTAAGAACCTGGCAATGTCATGGAAGACTATCCAGGTAGTTCTTGCAGCAGAACCGACCAGGTTGTGCCTACGTAAAATACTTTGAAATAGAAAGGGACATAGAAACTGTTCCTGCAGGTGTGAAAAGTTGTACAGTGCAGTCTTTTGTACATAGTGAAAACATGAGGGTGGTATTTTGTGCATCGTTTATGTTAATCAATAGCAATGGATCATGCATATGCTGGATGCCCATGTAAAGCCACGGGCCAACAGTATTGTAAGGTTTCAGCAAAACAAGTTTCCCACTGAAGGTGCTGTTGCAAGTATCATAGAATCATAGAATCGATTGGGTTGGAAAAGACCTCCGAGATCATCGAGTCCAACCCTTGGTCCAAATCCAGTCCATTTACTAGATCATGGCACTCAGTGCCACGTCCAATCTGCGTTTAAAAATCTCCAGGGATGGTGAATCAACCACCTCTTTGGGCAGCCCATTCCAATGCCTGATGACTCTCTCTGTAAAGAATTTTCTCCTGATATCCGTACAATAGAGACCTTAGTTTCCAGGCAGAAAGCAGCCATCATGTTTGAGAAATTATATTCCTAAAGTCAAAACTAATAAATTGGTTTTCTTGAACAGTCACTCTCTCTATGTCTCTGTCCAACAGAATCAAGTAAAGTTACAACTGGAGTATCTGCTTCAGTGTGAAAGTTGCAATCATTATCCACAGAGGCAAAATAAAAAATTGAGAATAGCACAGAAATAAAATGTTAAATGGCTAAAACCCTACAGGAACTACAAACATTTGTCTTTCTCTAGGTTTCCCAAGAGTAGGTCACAGTGTTTAGTCATACGTAAAGGAGTAGAAGTATGTATTGAGTGTATAAATTCAATTTGCAAAAATCTCATTATGCATCATCAGAAATGAAATTTTGTTAGTATAAGACTTGAAAGGTGTGCAAGGATAGAGATAAGACTTCACACTGTATAGTTACCCAATAGGTCATTGTGAGGGCATCACATGAACAACCAAGATGCTGTAGGTAATCACGTAGATGGATTTTATTTGTGATTGTGATAATGAAGGAATTACTTCCCAATGTAATTTTAATTTACATATTCAGAAAGAAAAATAGAATCTTAATTATTTTATGTTGTGAGAAACATTACTGTTCAATTGGTAATTGTTCTAATTCTGAAATTAATTTGCATTACCTGGATTTGGTTTTCCAGTTTGATATTGCCTTGAATTGAAAAACCTGGAATTTAAACACACGTTAAAAAAGTCACGCTCTCTAGGTTAACAAAGATTAGGCAGTAATACTGGCCATCAGTTTTTGTGCTGCAAATGGATATGCCAGATCCTCAGCTACTGTCACATGTATGCAACAGGACTATACCTATTTTATTGACAGAGGGCTTGTCTGACAGTCCAACAAAATTCATGTCACGAAACAATTCCCTTGTTCATCTTTAGCAAACATTTAACAAACTGATTAGTTAATTGATGACATTCACATATTTCCCAAAAAGGACCTCTCTACCAAATTCGCCATAGTCCTGATTATTCATAAATAATATTGATTAAAAGTACTTAGATTAAAGCCAGAGTAAAAGAAGTCCTAAGGCAATTTAGTGTTTTACCTGATTAACCTAGTATTAATCAGGATTTATTTTTCATTCTTTTAGCACTTTAGGAGCAGTGTGCTTTTACTGGTTCAAAAAAGCATGTTCCTGATCAATGCGCAAAACATTTGATTCCTTTTTTTTAAAATCTGATTTAATGAGTTTGGGGAATACAAAAAAACTTGTAGAGCAGCAACTAACTTCTAACAAGTCCATGTAAAACGCAGCATAAACGGTAAATTAACTAAGTAAGTCACAGATTGATGAAGATCTACAAGGTAATTTTAACCATTTTTTAAAAAATTTACAAATAACAAACCTTACTCTTTAATTATTGGTATAAGTTGAATGCCGAGATCTTCACAGTGAAACCATTTTTCAAAGAGGACATTAGTTGATTCTCCAACATAGTATCTGCCAAAGCAAACACATTAGTCGATCCTTTTATTAACTCATCAGGCAGTTTCAGTCTTTTGAAGAAAATGGTTACTTGATGTTATGTAAGAGCATGGGCTGATAAGAAAGCAAGGTGTCTTATGGACTTGTTTGTGATAAATAGGTGGTTTTCAGCTGCACAGATTTGGGAAGTGTTCAGCTCAGCCCTCTGAAGAGGAACTTAGTGCTTCACTTGTATTATTTTATGTCTTAACAAATAAAGAAATTGTGGTGAGATCAACAGGTCATCAAAAGACTGCATGGGCTGGCAAGGAGTGATGGGCTCCAGTACTGTCACTCACATCATGACTGGTTTTAAAAAGGTCCTCTGTGTCTTTTGGGTTAAAGTTACTGCAATGAGTTTCCAAAGTGGGAAACAAGGCTTATAGAATTATGCTGTGCATATTTGTATGTTCATATACGTCTGTCTTATGTATCTATATACATATTTTCCAGAAATTCTCAAAGAGCTCCCTGGCTCCTCAAGTTTGCAAGAACAGGGTATGCTGAAGAGAATAACATTATCTATGCCTCCAATATGGGGAAAAACTGTGCTACAAGCACAAATTTTGAACACACAGAATCTACAGAGAAGGGGGATGCTACAAATGACTTTTTTGTTAAAAAGCTTTACAGCTGGGAAGGTGCAAAGGATCCAACAACATGAGTAACATCAAATTTAGGGTTTTTTGTACTTGTTTGCCGTGGGATTAAGATTAGCTAAATCATTTTTCTTATAGCACAAGGCATGGAATCATTACTTATGCTGAAACACTGGGGCAGGCTACTTATTCTTGTATAGTAATCAGCATGCTGGGGGTCTGATTTATGACTTAGTCCTGAAGCATGACAAATAGTGGAACAGTAAGGTAATATTAGACCTTGAGTCAGCATACTTCAAAGTTCATTATGACTTCCTCTTGTACAGTCTTAGCTTCAGGTGGCTGGGAGTGAAAAAAGTTTGAGAAGATTAGAGGTTCTGGTTGTAAACCATCTCCCATCTCTCTCAGGAGCACACAGAGTCAATGTAGGTTTAAAAGCATAACAAGATCACTTCCAAAACTTCAGGTGTCTTTTTTTTTCATCATATCAGTGTAAAACCACAGGCACTGAAACCCTCGAAGTCAATCTTTTTGCAGGCATGTGATTGATATTTTTAATTGAGAATGTGCTTTGTTAATTTCCACCTGCAAACCATATGGTAGCTTTTAGTTTAATATCTCCACAGGAGCATGCCTACATGGGAGTGCCAATCTCTAGATCTGCCTGGAATCCCTAAAAAGCTATTCAGCATTTCTCTAACTCATACAATTCACAGACCTCATGTACACTGTAGATTGTTTTCCTTAAAGTTACCTAAAGCTACTTACATTCCTTTATTACATTAATAATAAACATTGTTATCTGAATCACTGGCCAGTTGTTTCTGGCTCAAAATATCTTTTTATAATCTAAGTCCTCACAATCCACAGACTGCAATGAAAAGAAAAAAGGGACAACTGTATAGATAAACAATGTTTTAAATGAACTGGACTTGTATTAACTTGGAATTTAATAGGGTGAGGTTTTTTTGAATGGTCTCTTTCTTAGTTTCTTATTTCTTTCTGTAACCTTTTTAATTTGAATGCAAAAGTATGTCTTTCTAGCCCTGCACATCTGCAATCTTCCTGCTGTGACACTACCTATGCAACAATCAAAACCGTAGGTGAAATGACGGAAACAGTTCATTACAGGTATCACTGTAGTTTTAAATCTTTACAAATTACATGAACAGCCGTAAACTCTACTTGGTCAGTCATATCTGGTTAATACTGAAACAGCTTTTCTAGGTTGGCTAATGTTACTGCTAATGTTACTGCTGTGAGTTCCCTTCTTAGATTTGTGAATTCTCTATGACCAGAACGCTTAATCCTGCTCCTAACTAGAATACAAAGTAACCCACTCACTTACATGGAGATTATGTTCTTGTAAGGCAATAAAAGCTAGGTAGATGTGCGTATAATGTAGAGGGTTTAGTGTTAAGAAAACTGACTTTTGTTTCCAGCTTCCCACACACATGCCAAGAAAGCTGCTCTTCATCTTTTTGCTTTCAGTGCTGGCAAAGTAACTAATATTCTGCTTGCCAGAGTTAATAAAAAAAATCTTTTTTCTTTTGGATTATTAGTGAGCTCTGAGATTTTTTTTAAAAGTTAAGGTGATAGCAGTAGGCAGTACATAAGTAGATAGCTATAACCAGAACACACAATTAAGACATTTCAACATATTCCTTGTTTAACTAAATCAAATGCTAAATGAGATCTCTGTTTACGTGTATATAGATAAATAGATGTGTGGATAGAATTAGTATAAGATCGTCGGGAGAATCTGATATATCATCAGGAAAGTAAAAGACAGTATTTTATTGACAGGGGAAATTAGTTTATATTATCAATCCTAACATATTAGTCAACAGTTTATACTTCACCTTAGCCCATCAATTTCTGTTTTTAGTCTTTCCCTTTCAATCACAAGACCCACAGTGTTTGCATATCTCTGAGGAGAATGAGGTATTCTGGCAGGTAGGAGGAACATCTGTTCAAAGAAATGGGAAAGAATCAGTACAGGAAGTCTTTGTTTTTCGCATTGTCCTTCCCCTGCCCCCAAACCTGCAACATCTTCTGCTCCTTGCCCCACTTCTTCTCCCCTACTCTTTGTTGATCTTGTGTTGCTCCTTTGCAGCTTTACACACTTTGGTACCGAAGCCCTGCAGACACTGTTTCTTGCTTTCTGTGTGAATGATGACACAGTGACTCTGCAATCAGCACTGCCTTTATGGCAGTCAAGTTCTCTCCTCCTGATTTAATTATCATTCTTAGACACAATTGAAGTGAAAATCTAACCAATCGCTCATCTGGAATTTATAAATTAGTGCAATTTCTGAGTAACTGAAATGGAAATAAAAAGCAAGTTTTGTCTAAACTAATAATCCGTGTGTACCCTTCCAATGCAGTGAGCACCTGTGATTTCTGATGAGGAGTGTTATTCTCCCCAGAAATAATTAACAAACATGAGGACTATTTATTCATGCAAGTGACAAAGGGAATAGGCAACATGTGGTTAGAAGTCTATTACTGAAGCTTGAGAAGAAGCCCTTTTTTAGCAGCTGTCTGACTGTGTAGGAAGGTAGTAAGCCTACACAATGCTCTTCAGTGCTACAGATGTCTTTGCCAAGGGTGGGCAAGTCATTACAGTTTCTCTGTCTACAAAACAGAGCTAATGACAGTTCCTCACCAGTACTAGTGTCGTCTTTCCAGTAAAGATATTGTGTGCTCCTTTTCAATAATGCTTATGCTACATGCCAAGATCTCAGCTGGGTGTGCTTCTTCAGTCTGAAGTATATTACCAGAATCTCACAGTTTGAAAATGTAGTTCTGTTTCTTAATTGAAAAAGTTGTAATACTTTTATGACCTCAAGCTGTTGGGTTTAATACACGTCTTCCATTTTAAGGGCTGTCCCGACTAGAACTAATAATCCTTTCAAAGACTCGAGTGCAGTTTGAACTTGTGTCAGTAGCAATGAGCGGCAGTTGTAGTGTGTCTTACTTGTAGTAACACCAAGAAAAGCATCTACTCATGCTCTCAGTAAAAGCACTACAATCTATGCTTTAGCAAGTTTACTACAAGGAAAAATTGGATACATTTTATCCATAAATGTCTCTTTTAAAACTATTTTTGTATTGTGATGGTTGTAAAGGCTAGCTGTGAGGACTAAAGGGGGCTGAAAACAGCTGAACTGTTTAAATTTCTAAGTTTAGGCATTTTGCTTACTGGCATGTGGGTGTGTGTGCAGTATGTACCTAGCATTGTGTAAATAAAAGACTGATCTGCTTGAATTCACATGGCCGATTACATGGCATGCAGGGGAATAAGAACTTCTCTCACTATATTCCTGACTATCTGAATAGGTATTCCAGATGCTCAGAGATATTTTAATCTGTTACTGAAATAGTGAAATGTTGAACACAGTGCGTTGTAGTTTGTTGTTAATGACATGGAATTTTCTATACACCATTCACATTTGTTTTGTTTTGGTTTTTTTTAAATCCTGATGCCATCTCTTGCACTGCAGGGATAAACTGATTTCTAAATACTGCATAAAACATTAATTTAGCATACTTATGTATAACTATAATAGAAAGACAATCCTATTTTACCTCCCCTTCTCGGATGACAACATCTTTTTGTTTCCCATTTTCAATTATCTTCAAACACATATCTCCTTGAACCTGGTAAAAAAGCTAAAGGAATAGAAAAATAATATTAAGGCATCTACACCAAAACATTCTGTACTTCATATTCTGTAAATAAGGGATACACATATAAATAAATTCAATCTGTAATTGCAAATATTTGCAGATTTTATCTAACAAGAAATAACACACTACCAACATTCATTACTTTTGCAAATGTTACTAAATATGTATTATGTCTGTTATCTTACTAACAACTGACAGTCTATCCAAGAGGTCTGTAGCTGCATGAAGCTACATATATACTAGGTTCTGTGAACCTAGTGGAATTCCACTGAACTGATTTTACCCTTGGAATTACTTCTTGTAGAGGTTGATATTATGGTTCAGGCATTTGTTAATTACATGATACATAAACCTTCATTTCAGATGTAGCAGGGTCTTCATTTAGTCAAATTAAATGTCACTTTTCCAAATAAGCCCCAGATATGAATGCACAGATTTTTTGGGATGCTTTTTCAATTTTTTTAATGGAGCTTTCTCATTTGGGAAGAAGTGCCCGTTTGGAAGCTGTTCTGCTTTATTTTTGCGGATAACTTCGAAGCCCAGCGACAGCTGCTACTCTTCCCATTGTGTATGTAAAAGGGTTACATTCAAAGTATGTATAAGGACGGAATCACTGAATCCATAATTCTGTCTTCAGTGATCTTTCCACAGCTGTTTTCAGATTAAAACCAGCTCTGGTTTGTGGGGGTTCTAAGGTGCTCAGATCTAGTCTCATGTTTCATGACAGAACTGTGCTATGATCTATAGGCAGGTATCTTTGACCTGGAATAATGGGCACATTTTCCCTCATTTTTATATAGTACAGAGCAATAATGCTTCCAAAAGTCAACTTTTCTGCCATGTTTCTGTCTGCTTTCCATGTTCCATTTACTGTATCTAGAACCTAAAGAGATTAAGTCATATAATTGTTAGTACAGCTGAAAAAGTCTGAAACTTGATTCAAAGTTAGAATTATAATAAGAAAAACCTTATTTATATTAATTCACTACAATTTTAACAAAATATAAAATAGATGAGGGAAAGAAGAAACAGCTGAAATACGCAAACACCCAGAACTGAACCTTTTCCAACACTAGAAAAGCTTAATCAATTTTTCAATTGCGTTTATTTCTAAAAGAGTTTTGAAATATTAATACATGCTACCTGGAATTGAAGGAACACCTCTGTGAACATGAGAAAGAATGAATATGCTGCCAAGGGAAAGAAACAATAGAGAGAATTGAAGAGCTACTGGAAAAGAGCTCATGCTGAGAGCTTTTACATGAGTGAAAAGTTCACCTTGTGCCAGGGACGTCACCGCAGATAAATTACAACTCTTGTCTAGATGGCCACAGTGCAAAGGTTACATATCCTCCTTGCACTCCATTTCTCTGTGTTCTTTTCCTGTCATTTTCTTTGGTGTTACCAAATGACAGTACAAAATGCTGTAGCAGCCCTTGTTACAGAGCTTTAGAGTGTTACCTTCCCTGTAACAACTGAGGGATCTATTGCTGAACACATGTACAAAGTGTAGATGAGGGAAAGGACAACAGAAGCAGAGTCTATCCTGCTTGTGACATAAATTGTGCAGCTGAGCAACTTTTCTGGAAAGGAAAGACTTCAGAGGGGATAGGGGCTGTCCAGCTCAGAGATGAAGCATCACAGTTATAAGGAGAGATTACGAACACTAAGTTATGAATGAAAATAAATGTTTTGCAGCGGGAAAAGAGGAATGATGTGGGCTACACATTTTCAATGAAAGTGTTTTTCTGACTGAATTTAAATATTACCTTTCACTGTAAAATATGGTCTATTCTTCAAAACATTTTTTTTTTAAATTGCCTGAGTGCTTCAGTCATCCATAAATCACGTGATGTAACTGTGATTAATACAAGTGGCAATAATTACTGAATCTACTATGTTGCTTATAATATAACCTGAACCTTTTATCAAGAAAACTGTCAACTATGTAATATCTCAGTGAGTTACAGTCCATGCCCATTTCACAGGACAGTTTGGCAATACAGTACTGTCTTTTTGCTGGAAAGTTATGTTTTCTAAATACTGACTGAGCTTTGTCTTTTGGGCAAATCTAACGTTTTCCTAAGTCTCTCCTGGAAAAATGTCAAAGCCTGAGTAAAAAAATTCTGTTGTATATGTATGTATATAAACAAATATATATGTCTATATAGATAACATAGTAAATCAATAGGTTTATGCCACCTGAAAATATAAGCTTTTCCAATTGTTCTATTCTTATGGGAATCACGTAGTATCCACTCTCTGCAATAGTACCAAAAAGTGAGTAAAGTGCAATATTTCCACTCCATAAGCGCCTTATTAATGACAAGATCTCTTGTAACATGAAAAATATTAATATCCTCATAGAAAAACCCAGATTTGTATATTGCTACTGCACAATGGGTCATAATTGGGTATGTATTTGTCTTTGTGAGCGAAAAATGTATTTTAAGAGAGAAACAAAGATTGTTCACTAGTCTTTTTATCCTTTTTATTACTAACTGTGCTTATTTATTATTACATTTTCTTCCTTTCTTCCTTTTATTTTCCAAGTTTTTTGCCTTTTGTTTAGTTTTCCTGCTTATTATGTGGCGCCTTCTCATTAAGATTACACCAAAAACACCTCCTCTTAATAATTCTCACTTTACCTCCAGAAGTTATGAGCTACCTCGACGTGCTTAACTGTAAATGTAACGTTATTTAATAATATTCCTCAGTATGGTTATTAAAGCTGCAGATATACCTATGAAAACTAAACTGAAAACACCTTAAGACTGAGAGTTTGTTTTTAGACTTATTTAATTTTCCTTAAATTCTCTTCCTTATTCTGCTTCACCCTTCTTGATCATGCTTCAAACCTGATAATATTGTGTTAATCTTGCAGACAGCGTGACCAGTGCTGAATCACTCTCAAGTCTGTACAGGGATATTTCATTCAGTTATGAATACTCATAAAATAAATTATGCTGGCATTTCTGGAGACATCAGGGGGAGACGCACAAAGGTAAGAGTTCACTGTTGGCTTCACTGAACCTGCTTGTCTTGGTAGGAATTAATTTCAACAGCATGGTAAAACGTATACTACCTTAAAAAGAGCACTATTATCCCTACCATAGTAACGTGGTGAGAATTGCTCCTTCATCCAGATATGTGTGTCCTAGTAGAGTAAAGAAGGAATCATCTAGTAGGGAAAGAATACAGTATTTATGATTGATCTGTGTTTGCTAATTTAAAAAAAAACCAAAACCACAAACCCAAGTCTTTTTTTATGTACAGCAATGTATGTAATTTAATTTAGCTCCACCTTTGATATCAAACTCTGCCTAAGCACAGCAGCCCAGAGCTATGTGAGGGCTTTTGTAGCTGACAGCTTATTTACAGACCTCTAAAGAGACCTGCAATTTGCAGTGTACTTTGAGTACTGAATTCTGAAAGTGGACTTTGGGATTGCTCAGCCACTTCTGGGATTAGGCACTGACTTGGCATATCCTGGTTTATACTGCTTGTCATATTGCTAAGTACTAAATTAATTTGCAGAGCAAAGCAAATTCTGATGTGGGAGTAGAGCCTGGGTGTTCTCCAGACTTCAGTGGTGACTGATCTATTTAAGCACAGAAAAACAATTTTCTCCCTCTCTCATCACAAGGGTTTTTCAGCCATCAGAAGACTGGAAGGCAAACAGATGCGGAAGGTAGACAAAACTATTTTGGTGTGTTTTTTTTTCCCCTCTGCTAATTTATATGTCATCTGTGAAACCTGAATACTAGCCAAACCCCACCCCAACAATCTTATGCAGCAGACTTATTTTTGAAGACACAATCTCCTTCTGATGCAAAAGGATGATCACTCTTACTACCTTGTAATAGGTTTGTTTCTCATTCAAATAGTCCAAGAGTCTTCACCAGATAAATGTGGGGTTTTGTAAGGTAAAGAAGCAAAAATATTTTTCTTGTTTTGTTGTGACTCATGTTTCAGATTTATTTGGAAAATAACCATCACAAAACTACCTACTGGAATGCTCACCTAGACCCTCTTTCCCCTTGTTTTCAGACATCCACTATCCTCATAAAATGCAAAGGGTGGATTGATCTGATAGGGAGGAGTTTCTCAGAAGCATTCTGATTAGAAAGCAGCATACACTAGAAGGGGTCAGGCTTCATTTAAGCAGATAATTTGTCAGAAACTGGAGCCAAATCTTACTTGTGGTGTGAGAGGGAGAAAAAGAGAAATCAAAACTCAGGTTAGAAAACTCAGATGAGCTGTTGCAGACGTGACCTCAAATCTGTATCATGTTTCAGATCATAATGCTATACTGTGTCTCAATCAGACCATGTAAATATGCTAAGAGAAGCTGAAGAGATATTTCTGTTCTGACAGTCCTCTTCAGGACTGCAGTGTAAGGGCTCTGATCTGTGGGGTTGTGTCAATACTTACGTGGTTCTATCAATAGGAAACAACCTAGGTGCTGAGAGAAGAAACTTGGGGTAAAATACAGCTCAATGAGAAGCGGGACTTTTAAACCAATATGTGCCATTGCAAATGTGTTGCAGGCAGTAGATGAAAGGGTGATTTTAATTTCTCTGCATGGAGCTGCACTGTTTTACATAGACTCAACATCAGAACATAAATTGTTAAGAAATCAGTCAGATACTTGAGATTGTGTTTAAGTGGTGGACTGAAGCGGGTAAAGAGACAGAAGCCTAACTACTTTTGTGATCCTATGTTTAGCTGTTAGCATATCTCACTTTCCCCCAGAGCAGCCCACATGATGCAGTAAATAAAATCTGAAATTCTTTTACTATAGCTAGGCTTTGTTATGATTGTGGGGTTTGTCTGTCATTAACTTCCTGCAAAATATATGGTCCCCTTCTGTTTTCACTTTCTTTATTTCTTTGGAAGCTATATGACGAGCTTAAAAGTTCAGAAAGGGTTTTGTTCCACCCTCAGGTTTTACAAGTAAGGAAAAATGCAGTAAATACACCATGAAGTCTGTGAGCTGTGTTAACACCAAAACTCTTCTTGTCATAAATCCTACTGTATGATGAAAAATTCAAGAGACAAAGAAAGGTATGTTGAGAACTCTTCTCTGGTACCTGGAATGCACCTGCTACCCCATAGCTGTAAGGGGTTGAGCAGAAGAAGACACAGCCTCAAGTTGTGCCAGAGGAGGCTCAAGTTGGACATCTGTCAGAATTTCTTCATGGAAAGGGTTGTCAAGCATTGAAATAGGCTGCCCAGGGAGGTGGTGGAGTCACCATCCCTGGAGGTGATCAGAAAAAATAGACATGGCACTTAGTGCCATGGTCTAGTTGACAAGGTGGTAATTGGTCAAAGGCTGGACTCAATGATCTTGGAGGTCTTTTCCAACATAATGATTCTGTTATTCTGTGATCATGTCAGGCTGCCACAGAAGCTTTTGGTGGCCTCATCAAGTTGACTACACAAGAACTGTAGTTACTAGTCCATGTAATCCAAAATTCTCTTAACAAGTGAGGAATAATAATTCATTTGAAAACCTCACACCACTAGCGATATAGCAAAAACCAAGAAAGTTTTGTCTGTATGAGCTATATAGGTGCATTCTCACAGCACGTTTTTTCCCTGTTTCAACATAAGATGCATTTCCCAAAGCCACTCAGTTTCATTTTGAATGAGTCTGATTTAGAGGCAGAGAATGTCCAAGTAGATGTTTGCTGACCCTATCTCTGTTCTGATGGAGAAGGGAGCAAAAGGGAACTTAACACTCACAAATAAGAAAAAGAATGAATAGGACCTAGTGGTAAAGTCCAGCCAAAGACTCTGAATGGTTTACCTCTTGTAAGGTGCAGCTTGATTTGGCTCTTTATAAAACCTGTCCAATGGAAAGCAATCTCAGGTATGAGGCAGTACTTTTGTGCAGAAAGGTGGTAAAGAAGCAGCATACAGAAATTTAAGAAGGAAGTGAAGCAATACAGAGAAAACTAAGAAGGAAGAAAAGAGAACAGTTACTCATTTAGGAAATGCCTACTTGTTGAGAGGAGGAAAAAAATTTGTGCTAGACTAGCTGTCATTTTAGCCTAAATGATTGTTGAGAAGACAATTCTAAAAGGCTTTGAAGAAAGTCCAAATCAAGCCTCCTTTTTTCTCCTAATTAGCCAGTCAGAACTAATCTTCCTGCTACACCTGCATGTTAACAGCACCAGCAGAGAACAGCTCAGGAGCAGGAGGATGCTCCTCTGCCCTTATCTCTGCATGTGAGCCCCTTGCTGCTATGAACTGCAGGCTAACAAGCACAAGTTGTGCCACAGGATGCACCATAAACTCTGGGATAACAGGCATAAGATATCAAGTGGACAGATAAAAACAATCCTAAATTTAACTTTCTCTCCAAAGCAACCCTTCTTTGCTATCAGAATACTACTACAGAATAGCATCAGCTAAATTGGCCTAAAGGATTTGTGGGGTTTCACATTCGTGATAGGCCTGTTGACAATATGCCTGTATAATCTGTCTTCGAATTATCACACAGAACTATAAATGACCTTTTTCTGTCAAAATAATGAGCTGAACATGGTTCTGAATGGTGGGGTTTTTTTAAATCCAAAGTCTAATTTAGGAATATGCCCTTTTACTAGGATACTCTCTACCTCACAATTCTTCTCTAATGAGAAACATGGTTCTAAATTAGATCACAGGAAGGTGTAAATGTGTCTGATTAAAAACCTATGGTAAAATGCAAAGAAGGAATATAATGTACCTCCATAAAAGTGAACAAAATTGGCCCATATGTTAAACTGCTATGTAACTGATAATGCTTCTGATGCATGTATTGCCAATTTTCCTATGTAATAGGAATTTTATGTTTCCATTTTTGCTTGCTGAGTAATTGTGAAAAGTTTTCTATGTAAATAAGGATGTATTGATACTTTAAAAAATCTTGTTTCCAGTTGGATTAGCAATAATATATCAGTATGCAACAGTATAATAAAAATTATCCCTTTATAGATATGGCTAAATTTTCATATTGTTGTAAAGTCATATAAAGAGTTTATTAAAGCTAGGCCAAGTTATTTTCAAACAGAGGAACATCTTGCAACATAAAAAAGATGAGGTAAGTTAAATTAATCTAACTTCCTTTTTAAGGGAAGGGGAGGAGGAGATAAAGTAAAACAAAAAAAAAAAAAAACAGCACAGGAATGGGTGGGGAACCAAGGATAATTTAGTATAAACTGGAAGGTGCAGGGAGAGACAAGACTGTAAATAAAAGGACAAAAAAATAAAGTTTAAAACTGTTGCACCAGTTAAACTTCAGCTCATTTTTGTGTATTCCTCTCTTAGTGTATAGCTCTAATGTATTATTCAGAGTAAGAAAATAAACTAATTGTATAAAACCAAAACGGTTAAGTTACATGAAAAAAAAAATTTTATATCATTAACCTTCACATACGTTCATTTTATACTTTTCCAAACCTTGGTAACAAATTTCACCGATTTTTTTTTAATCCAACATATAATACTTAACGATATACAGTAACAGCAGGACACAGATTAGATATTCTCCTTGGTGTTTTCTTAGCAGTCATGCTACAGCTGTGATGCTCCTTTCCCAGGGATGTAATTCTGTTGACGAAGCCAGATTTTTTTTTTCCCACAGCTAAGTATCTCTGTAATTTCCTTGTAAATATAGGATGGATACAGGGACTGCCCTGAGACCTGGCTTGCTTCCACACGTGGGCTGTGGGACTGTGGTGGCAATCCAAAGCAGGCAGAAGTCAGACAGTGGTAACTTGGCACCTGGTCTTTTAGAGCCTTACGGTTATAATGACTACAAACACCTGCACAGCACAATTATAACAGAAAATTAATGAAGGCTGTTGTGAAATGCTTGGGGGCTGGTTTTTGGAGAAATGATTTGATGATAAGTAAACTAATTTTTCTTTCTGTTCTTACGGATTTTTTGAATTTGACCCACTTTTACCTTGAACTATGTAGATGCATAGGTTTGGGTTTCCAAAGGTACTTAAAATTAGGTGGCCAAATTTTACTGGAATTACATGAAAATAAATTTTTCTGCCGGGAAGCAAGAGAAGTTGTTCCCCATCATGACATCCTCACTGCTTGGCCTCTAGTGATCGTTTTCCCTTAGGGTTCTTTCAGAGCCAATTGTGGAACCAGAGAAGTCCTCAGGCCAAAGAGACAATTCCAAAAAAAAAGGCAGTAAACAGGGTAGGTGTAAATTGTTACAATTTTGATAGGATTCTACTCTTTTTTTCCTGTATTCTGCATTTGGCACAATGGCTACTCCCAATTCAAAGCAGTGGGATGGCTTAGTCTTGATACAGAAGATGTGCAGCAGAGGGGACTGATTTGAAAAATATTTAAAGACTCTAACTTTCCAAGCCTGAATGAAAGCTGAAATGCTGATAATTTTCACGAAGTCTAGAAAAAATATAATTTCTAGTGAATTAAAATATTTAATTTTGATTTTTAAATGTCAAACTTACTTTTGAAATATAGATTGACCTTCTGCAACAAAATATCACTTTAAAAATATCAGTACCTTTCCAAAGTTTTGTTCCAAACTGTTGATGTGAGACATTTTGATGTGTCAGAATACTTTCTCTAATTTCCTGTTGGAAATGAATTATAGCAAAACAGATCTGATCTCATGTGCTTGTTTCAAAGGAAATGCACAGATGGTGTATGGTTCTGGTGAATGATTCTGTTGAAGTCTATGAATACATCTAATAAATACAACATCACTAAGTCTAGCATTGCTAACTTGAAGCTGTACCTTCAAAAGTAGATGCATTTTAGTCATTACAGATCAATTAAATCAGAAAAATATAAACAACCTATATGTTACCTCTTCTCCTTCTTCAATATGATAATCCTTCCTTTCATTTGGCCCTCCAACGAACATCACATTTAATTGATAGCGATGCCTAGAAAAGAAAGTGACATTTTAAAGCTACCTCTATTCATGATGTTATTTTTTTAACTTATTTTTAAAAATTTTGTTAGGACAGTGAGTCAAGGAAACAATGTTGAGTGAAAAGCAACATCCAGAATGAGAATTCAAAAGAGCTTGGATGCATCTCTCTGCTCTGTCACTGTCCTGTTGGGTGATTTGAGGCCAACTACCTCCCTGCTGGTGTTTCAGTGCCTCCAGATATGAAAAGAGGACAACAACAGCTACCAACTGTGGAAAGGACTTTGAAATGTATAGATAAAGAATGCTACCTAAGAGACAGGAAAGAGGAAAATGGATCTTTGCCTTGAGCTGATTATGTAAAGACAAAACTCTCTTAAAAGTTAATATAAGTAAAAACACATTTTTCCCCCATAGCGGTAGAATTACCAGAGATACTGATGGTAGCAATTATCAGTTAATTTCTCTTCTATTTATACTGATTTTGCTAACCTGTAACAATGTTACAATAGTTTCAGTGGGGTTGTGGCTAATTCAGAAAGGAGATTCCAGGCCCCTTCTTAACTCTACCTCTTTAAGAGCCCCAGTGAGCCCTTCTCTTAGCTGTCACAAAGAACAGCTATCACCCCAATTACCTATCAGACCATTTACACTAATAAAGAGGTAAGGTAACAGGTTTTCCTTTGCTAAAGAAAACTCTAAATCAGGACTGTTAGCTGGGATTCAAAATTTGTTCTTATGTCTCATTATGGTAAGCATCATATTCTGAATTCAGAAGAAGAGCTTTAGAAATACCTGTAAAAATCAACTATGTCAAAAGTTTTGATTTTACACTAACTTCTCTTTGTTGAGGTTAAAAAGCATTTAAACTTGTAAGATTAGTACAAATAATTAAAATACAACATAAGAGCCGCAATTTAATTAGATGTATCCTTTTCTTGACTTTGGTAAAACTCTAAACAGGCAGTGCTTCAGGAATTGAAGTTTTTTTTTGAAAACCCAAATCAGCATTCAAAAATTTTGATTTTCTCAAGTGTATGGAACATAACTTAATAAAAGCTTGAAAGCCATAACAACTTTAGACACTCAACTTTAGACACATTAGTGATTTGCTGTGAGACCTAGTTTTTAACTTTTATTTCTTTCTTAAAACATAGGATTTTAAGTTACTTAAATGTTTTGAGGTGGTTGCCTTCCAGTGAGGCATTAGGTGGCAGTGAGAAGGTTGCCTTGCAAATCTTTACTCAGCACATAAAGGATGAAGCCTTTAAAAAAAATGTTGGATATCTATTAATTTCTTCTTGGAAAATTGCCCAAAACTTTTTGGAAAATCCTGAAAACATTTAGGTAGCACCAGAAGCAGGTGATGAGAGACTCAGAATCCATGCAGTAGATGGTTTTTCTCTCCTCCTATACAGGCTAAGGTTATATTGGAAAAATGGAATTTTTTTTAAATCTATGTAATTTTTATCACAAAAAATGTTTCTTGTTTCTCTGTGGCTTCTTGCAGTGCTTCTGGGGAAGGCTATTGACAGATGTCACATTCCAAAGCTACTTAAGGATTACACAGAACTTCTGGTAGGTGCTACAGTGCAGTAATAACAATAAAGGTTCAACCTACTGATAAAAAAAGAAATTAAAATACTAAAATTTCACCATTGTCATTGGTAAGCTTTAGAAATGGATACGCTTTACAAAATCCTTCTAAGCCATTTTGAAAATGAAAGGAATGAAAACACCCATGACAAGAAGATAATTTCCTCATTCTCTCCAGTTGTGAAACTATTGCAGTGATTCAAGTTTCACAATTTTTCAGTTCAACATACAACTGTAGTCTCAACACAGACACAGTAGGGATGTGCCCCGTACCTTTTCTTTGCCTTGCAACCATTGCTTTGAAAAGTAACCCTTGCACCTGTGAATGGAAATTAATATCATGGCTACAGAATTGCCCATTCAGCTTTTCATTAAAGATAGCACTTCAGGGTAGGGCAAGAGGCATATTCTTTGATATGTCTTTAATGGTTAAAATTATAAAGCAGGATTATTGTTTTAATTAGAGTTAAGAAAAATCCTTTTTAATTTCTTTATAAAATCTGAGTCTATATTACTCTTTAGAGAGGATACTTTCTAATGAAGCCTCTTGTATACAGAGTTTTAGACAAAAGATGTTGTCCTCAGCTTCACTGAAAAAAGAAATCCTTGCTAATGTTTTGACTAGAAGGTGCAATACATTGGACAATTTACACTGGAATTTATGCACAAGCTTCGACATTGAGAATATGCATAAGTGTACACGTGTGTAATACCCACACTTTTTCTCTTATATTACCTCTCTCATTCAGAATACAGTCCATAGCTTTTAAACTGCCTCTTCAGCCTCCCCTACCCTCCTGACAGCGCTGGAAATGCCTTGTAAACCTGCTCCTCCAGTGCCCTTACTGTTCCTTTCTCTTTGTTTTCAGCGATATATACCGATGGTTATGATTGCTCCTGCAGCTTTGGCTCCTCTGTGATGTTGGAATGATTCTCAGCAGCTCTATCAGGTTATAATTTAGTAGCACTAATTTGTTAGCTATATCTTATTGTTTGTGGATGTGATGCCATCTCCTCTGATTTCTAGTTTACTGTCACAAAGCCTGACACAAATGCTCTTAACTCAGTCTCACTGCCTATGAGAGACTTCGAGTTGAGGCAAGTAGCTTGTATTGAAGTTGATCTTTGCAGCTTCTGCTGAGTCACTACAAAACAGACTTCAGCCACTATCAGTTCTTCAAAACAGCATTCTGACTGCAGTCTGATGAGGAACTACGGTTCCTTAATAATCTTTACCATGTTATGCATTTTTGCCGCTTCCTCTTACAGCTAGAAATATTTATATATCTAATAACTTAGTAAAAGAAATCTTCCTTTACTTACATAAGTTTATTGCAAACAGGTGGCAAAAAGGCAGTTTTGTTTTCTTCTATCCATTTGTTCACATTCACAAGAAGCTCCATGGTCCACCAACTATGAAACTTTTGACTGAGATATTAAGAGTTTGCAGAATGATCTTCCTGTGAGCAAACAGCATGTGATTCCACCCCCAGTGCTTAGGGGCTGGCTGGCAGTAGAGGTGTCTTCAGGCTTCAGTGTCAAAGGGGACAGGTCCATCAGCCAAAGGTTATTTTGTAGAGTATTAATGCTCCAGCAGCTTAGCTAATAATTGACTAGTGTTTCTAAAATATATATTTTCATTGGAGACTGTTTTTTGCCCACAGGAGGTCTCTTGATTCTCTTTACTGCATCAACTGGGGTGTGTATGTTACCTCTCTACAAAAATTGCATTGTTACACAGTGAGAAAAATGTGCAAAGCTTGGACCTCCCTGGGATCTTCTGCCAAATAACCAAAGTACAGATGTCTCCTGCATTTTTAAGACCAAAGGTAGCTGTCCATAAATGCTCATTTTAATTTGATCACTCTGTGCCAATGTTGTAGCAGGACTTGTTGGAGAACTGAACCTGGTTCTGTGATGCCCTTTGGGAAAGTGCAGCGTATTGCCATCAAATTGTCAGGCAAACAAGAAACTGAGAAGTACTGGGCATCCCATATCTGTATTAGTCTTTATTCCCTCACTAGTTTCTGTTCAATGCCTACACAGTTGCTACAGGACTGCTCATTGTGTTCCCCACCACCCCCAATTTTTTTAACAAGCAAATGTATAAACATTTTTTTCAAACACCAAACATGTGAAATGGGTGGTAAACAAAAAACCCCAAGACATTACAATATTTTAGCACTTTGGTCTTGACATAGCTTAGTCTTCTGCTTATATCTACACTGTGCTTCACGGGTGAATGTGTCTGGGTATATGGCTGTAATACGATTTGGTTAAAAGTGAGTGGTGTATCCTCCGTGGTTTGCACATATGGGCAGTACAGCTATGGGACTGAAGAGTCAGCATGCTGAACAGTATGAATCTGGAGATCTTTACCTTATACCATAGTAATTTTGCAAGGGAAAAAAAGCAAGGGAGTATAAATTTGAATTAATTTTATGCACTTATTCAAGTATGTGATTCTGTTTTACCTTCATCTCTACCACTTCTTTGCAGGTTAGTTTAAACTCATCTTGTAACTGATAAAAGAAATACATTAATTTTGGGATACAAAGATCCACATGTGGATTACAGTTCACATGTATTAGTACAATCAGAATCGGACTGGCAATAATTTCCTCTGAAATAAGCCCAAAGTAATTATTATTTCATTCAATTATAAAACACCACCACCACATTATTTATTTAAAACAAGAAATTTCTACCAACAAAATGGCTGTGGTGAGACACCAGTACACAAGAAACTCATTAGGCCTGTTTCTGGACTTACAGATAGGTATATTTTGATATTTTTTGTTCTGTAGGCTGCTGGCAAACTATTTAGCTGTGACAGAAAGAGAGCTTATATTTAAAATGCACTTTCACTTAAGGGATTATGACCCAGCCTCATGGGACTGGAGAACTGAAGACACTCTATCTTAACGATCGCGGTTTTGTAAGGTTTTACCTCATCATTAGTAACAGGTATCACAGAGCAGGACTTCATTTGTTGGGCATGAAAGCCAAGGTACTCTACAAAGTCACAATACAAAAAACTACAGATCCTGGAATTGATCGAGCTAATCCTTTATCACCACACTATTAATGTGCCAGTTTTAACGGCGGGCTATTGTCCACAACCCCTACTTTAATCCCTAGTCTCCACTTTTTTTCCACCAGGCAGAATACAAGCTACTATTACCTGCAGAGAAAACTTTCTCAGTCACAGGCTGATAAATCCATTTTGTGGCTGGAGTGAGGTAGGAAAACCTAGACCTACTCAGGAAGGAAACAACATGCACTTACAAAATTCACCATTAGCATGATGCCGAGGCTATTATTACAGGGTAGTATTTTCTGCAACCTTCTGAAATCAATAGGTTTTGAAAAATGCAGTTAATGACCTCTTCATGCATGTAACAGTGGGGCTAAGAAATTATCTGCATGGCAAGAAAGTACTGGGCCATGAAATGCTACTTCTGTGAAGTGTATTGGAGAGCCAAAGAAAAGAACCAGTGCTGCAGTCTCTGTGAGACCCAGGTAAATACATGCACCTCATACACTGCATGAACTGACTGGGGCCTGGATTTTTCTTGCTAGTCTGCTTCACAATGACTCTTCACATCCATCAAAGCCTGTTTCAGCCGCTGGGGTTTCTGTTCTACCATTTGGCTCAGATCCTTCCCTTTCTGTAAAGGTAAGGACTCTATTTGTCAGCTTTCACTGCCAGAGAACTGCAACAGTACTGAAGCACAAAACTGCTACATCAAAATAATCCATCTTTTGCATTGAGGGTGCAGGAAAGAAATGTTAAGTGAAAAAAACCTGAGTTTAGGACAACACCTACTTTATTTTTCTACTTTCCTCAAACACCAGACCTACTAGAGACTTAAATTTCCAAGTTGGTGTCCAGCAAGCAGACTATGTTAATAAAAAGCAAAAGCTAAATATTGTGTTTCTAGTTAGAAGGACTATTAAGGCCAGGGGTCATTGGCCAGGATTTTTATTTGTATTAAAGTGGTATCTGGTCATATACTTTTTTTAATTATACTCCCTATACTAATTTTCTTTTTGTTCACCTAAAGAAGGTGCTAAAGACCTAGAATTGTTTAGAGCCCCTGGGAACAGAAGAGGGAAACAGACCATAAAGCCAGCAAGCGTGGATACTGCCTCCTCCACTCAGCCCATTCTACTCTCAAGCAAACAGCAGTGCAAAAATTGGCTCTTAAACCTTGTTTTTTTTCACACTTAGTGCAAAGAAGTATTCTGAAAAATCTTCACCAGGGGAGGTTTGCATTTGCCAGCAATTTGAAGATAAAAATCCTTTCAGTATCGTTTCAACTTGGCCGTTCTGTCCCTGTGCAATACCAAGACTGATTTATCTATGCTGGTGTTAAAAAAATGGAGCTACACTGAAGCAATAATCTGGACATTCCGCAAGCAGTAGGGAGCAAGTAACTTTCTTCACCATTAAGACAGCTTTAACTTCTGGTTTTTATATTTTCTTTATTTTTTTTTCCTTCTGTTAGTATTGCAAAGAAATGAAAAAGGAAGACATTTATATGACTAAATAATTAATTTCAGCCAGTTGAATACACTTCCTATTTTTGGTCAATTCTGTGCTTTTTTTGTTTGATCTTTGAGAACAAACACTAATTAAGTACTTATAAAATTATTTATATTAAAAAAATTCTATATAGTTGCTGAAAACAAAAATTCCAGTCAACAACAAATTTATTACTTGAACCCCTGTCCAGTTATGTTCCCACAAAGTGATACGGCCAAATTTCACTGCTATATTTGTAAACATACTACCAAGGGCCTCAGTTTGTGGGGACAAACATAAGAAACAAGTGATTCACATAGGACAACAGAATAATTAAAGATCCCACTAAAACTACTAGAATCTTCACCATTATCACTGTTACTTTTATGGGAAAGCTGATTCGTATACAACAAGCAATGATTATCATCTCTATAAACACTAAAATTAGAGTCTTTCTTGCCTAAGGTTAAATCTGCAATAAAGAGCTTCTCTGTATGTTCACAGCTTCAGCTTTTAGTCTTTCTGGCATTCTTGTATTTGCCAAAAAAGCCCTTGTTTGGATGAAATTATGTTCACAGCAATCTTTGTGTGGTATAGAACATTTTGTTAGTATAGCGATGCACTGTTAAGGGCAATGAAAGCTGCTGCAGTTTTCTGGTATGCCAACTAAATGTGATGACGGAAAATGTCTTTAAGAAATGAACTGTCGGTTTTCTCTTTTCTCCATGCCAGCCACCTTCATCAAGGGCCAGATACAGTAATTGCATGCTACTTCACCTGTCAGTGGTGTATACCACCGAAATATTACAAATATATTTTAGGTAATGCCCACAGTAATACTAACAGCAGAACAACTTTCTTGACAAGTGAGATACAACTCCTCTCCATTCAAAGCAGTCTTAAAAAAGTGTCAGCTCATTTATGGATTGTGGAGGGGAGGAGTTAATGGAGTCACACAAAACTGCTCAGTCTGCCAAAAGTACCTGGGAGATCCATGAGATTTACTTAAACTGGCCGAGTGCCTGTCACCTGCTGCTGGGCCACCAATGGTTCATTTTTAGAAGCCATGGAAATCCAAGCCCTGTGTAGCACTTTCTACAACCATCCATCCTGTAATGAAATTCCCAGAGCTTGTTCCTTTGCCCACGGTAAAGTCACTGCAGAAAGGAAAACACTATGTAGTGCTTAAGTCAGTAACAGAGCAGAGCACTCTAGGGAAGTAAATATAGCAGCAACGTAAATGTTTCCACGAGTGAAAAGAAAAATATGTCTGTCTCAACTGTGTGTTGGAGCATTGCTTGGATTTAATTATCTTCTGGTGCCAATTGTGTTTACCATCTTCTTGCCACATAAAGCTAACGTAGATCTGAATGTGAAATAAATTCATGTTATATGTATACGTTTATATATATATATATATAAACGTGTAGGGTTGAGTAAACACTTGTTTTGGAAGTGCCAGGCATCCCTGGTGCCGCACACAGCACGCAGGCTGCAGAGCCCCGGAGCGCGCAGGCAGCGATGCTACAGACATCGTCATTTAGCTCCCTGGCAGTAGCCGGATGTTTTTCTCAGCTGCCCGGGCCTCAGCACGACAGACGGTGCATTTTCTCCCCACGGCTGCAGATGAGCGCGAGGCTGAACTGGGCTGACCCAGCGGCCAATGCCTTTTGCCCAAGGGCGTCAGGAGTCTCGGACTCGCACGACCCGGGGCAGCGGCCTGTCTGCCTCGCCTCCGGAGCGCGGCACTGCGTGGGAGCGCCAGCAGCCCGGGGCTGGCAGGGGTCGGCCAGGTCACTGCCGCTGCCCACCCCACACCTGCTGCCGCCACGGCCGCACCATCCCCGACGAAGGCCACCGCTCTCCCCGCCCCGCCCCGCGCGGCGCAGGGGGCCGGGCTGTGCCCGCCGGCCCTGGGGCCGCCCTGTCCGCCCAGCGGGGAGCTCGGGGGCGGTGGCATTTTCCGGAGCTGCAGCTTGTCTCCTCCCTGTCGTGCTCGGGGGCGCCGCCTGCCCCGAGCG